GCTCAGCCTCCCGAGTAGCTGGGATTACAGGCATATGCCACCATGCCCAGCTAATTTTTGTGTTTTTAGTAGAGACGACGTTTCACCATGTTGGCCAGTCTGGTGTCGAACTCCTGACCTCAAGTGATCCACCTGCCTTGGCCTTTCGAAATGCTGGGATTACAGGCATGAGCCACCACACCTGGCCCCGACATTAGAAATGTCTAAGCACAGTGAAAATCTTAAAAATTATCAAACATCCATATCAAAGTGAGAAAAATATTTGAAGTATACATAACAATGAGTTACCTTCTTTTATACACTAAAATTCTAACAAATCATTGAAGATCACACCTAATATATAGCTGAAAGAATATGAAATGTATGTAGAATAGTATACCATGTATCATACTTCATATTCTTAAACATTAAAAAGGTTGATAACAGTTAGTACAGTCAAGTATGTAGAAAAAACACTAAAGAAATTATAAACTGTATATGGTATTTTGTGGTGGAACAGTTGATTTATATATATCAACATTTACATTGCAAATACCCTTAACACAGTAATGCCCTTTCTAGAATTTTACCCTAGAGCTTTAATATGTCAATAAGACAAGACAACCCAACAGAATGAAGACTCATAGCAACAGAAATATTAGTGGCCTAGAAACATACAAAAAGATTATAATCCTCACTAAAACTCACATATATGCTGTCATTTATCTGTAAGAGTGGTAAACTTTGAACAGATAGGTAAGAGCCACTGTGGGTGAGAGTACTGGCTGGTTGACAGGTAATTTGGCTGTACTTATTAAAGATCTTTTTCTTATTTTAATCAGCAGTTGCATTGATAGGACTCCATCCTAGTGAAATATTTATATGTCCACAAAGATTTCCAAGGCAGTTCTATTCATACCAGCAAAAAGTAGAAGGAGAAAGCCCTAAGCGTGCCATGTTCCTGAGAATCCAATAATGGTAGAATGACAGCTATACTACCAGGTGGCATTGCTTATGATAAAAATGACCCCTGATTGGTAAACAAACTTCACGGGGACGAGGAGGACTAGAGAGTAGTTAAATTGCCATATCCATACTCTGGAACTGTCATGATAAAAATTGACTGATATGTAAGAATGTCTGGGATACTTTTGTCTAAGTGAAAAAAATCAAAGTCCACAAAAGCATAGTAGGAGCAGCCGGGCAAGGTGACTCATATCTGTAATCCCAGCATTTTGGGAGGCCAAGGCGGGTGGATCACCTGAGGTCAGGAGTTTGAGACCAGCCTGGCCAACATGGTGAAACCCTGTCTCTACTAAACATACAAAAAAGTAGCTGGGCATGGTGGTGCATGCCTGTAATCCCAGCTGCTCGGGAGGCTGAAGCGGGAGAATTGCTTGAACCTGGGGGGCAGAGGTTACAGTGAGCCAAGATAGTGCCACAGCACTCCAGCCTTGGCAACAGACAACAGAGCGAGACTCTGTCAAAAGAAAAAAAAAAAGAAAAAGAAAAAGAAAAGAAAAGAAAGAAAGAAATTTCTAATGTCTAGGTAGTCAAGTTTATCACTCTGTAGCTATGTATTTTCTGAATTTGGGGATTGCTTAGAAAGGCTATCAGCCACCACAAAACTATCAAAACTTTTAACTTCTCTATCACTTTTATGGTTATCTTGTATACATTTAAATCTCTAATCCATCTGTAATTTACTCGGGGGCTCAGAGTGAGATGAGTAATTTACTTTTATGGAGTTTCTTCCCTCCATAAATGCCTAGCCAGATTTTTCTAATGACATCTTTTCTGCAGAGATTTAAGATACTTTTATTATGAAGTAACCTCTGACACTGTACTTCTAGGATCTGTTAATGGTTATTAACTGTCATTATCATTGTCATGTTTAACTGTGTTACTGGAAGCCTGACAATGGAATGACGGCTGTTTTACTGGGTCTGAGAGATAAGGAAGGAAGGAAACCCAAGTTTTTCCTACTGTCTACTCTCACTTGACACAACACTTCCGACACCAGATGTAATCCCAGGCCCCAGGCTGTTCCCCTATATACCAAGCCGTTCTCCCTGGACACCAGCTGGGTGTGCTCTTAAGTCAATTCCATTCTGACACCGTCTACCTGGAGTTAGCGTCAGCTCCCACAGGTTGAGGGCTTAGTCCCACAAGACTGCCCCAACTTGAGATGTCAGTCACAAGTAGGGTGTCACCTATACATCTGACTGATGGGCCACAAATTGGGGGTTCCCATGAACCCCTCCTGAAGATTGATTAATTTGCTAGAGTGAGTTTCAGTTTCCCTGAGTTTCCCCTATTTGTTATAAAGGATATTACAGGCCAAGCGCGGTGGCTCATGCCTGTAATCCCAGCACTTTGGGAGGCCAAGGCGGGCGGATCACCTGAGGTCGGGAGTTTGAGACCCAGCCTGACCAACATGGAGAAACCCCGTCTCTACTACAAATACAAAATTAGCCAGGTGTGGTGGCACATGCCTGTAATCCCAGCTACTCAGGAGGCTGAGGCAGGAGAATCACTTGAACCCAGGAGGCAGAGGTTGCAGTGAGCCAAGATC